ACACACACACACACACACACACCAGCAGCTTCTGCTAATGGTTTATTACACTGGAGCCTCTCAGCTTTATTGCTGGTCCCTCTCAGAGGGTGACGTGTAATTAAATCATTTAACCGAGTCAGCGAACACGTGGAGGAACCTGTGCAGGAATTACAGGTGGCTCAACTTTTTTCTTTCCATTTGTTTGGTATGTTGAGCATAAATCCTTGATTCTCCTGGTTATGGGCACGTTTAACCTCAAGGTTTTTTTTTTGTTTTGCATCCTCTGAGCAATGCTTTTTTTATCTTTTCAATTTCAATTCAATTTCAAACTTKACTTGAAAAGGGACAGAGGGCAGCTCAAACATAAATGTCACCATTTGATGATGATGACCAGATTGCATCTTANACTTGAAAAGGGACAGAGGGCAGCTCAAACATAAATGTCACCATTTGATGATGATGACCAGATTGCATCTTAGATTATACCAAAGATTGTACCTGAATATCCCCTCTGCGGGACAATAAAGGCTGTTTCTATTCTATTCTATTCTATTCTATTCTATTCTATTCTATTCTATTCTATTCTATTCTATTCTATTCTAGCAGAAGCTAATTTGCATCTGCAGTCACTTGATAGAAATGTGATAAAAACAGAACAAAAACCACTACAGGTTACTTTCTTCTTCCACTACACAAAACACTGACACGCACACTTAGTTACAATTAATAATTACAGTTTTTAACTGATTTCTCGTGTTAGATTTGAAACATCTCGGAGCATCATCAGGCAGACTGGTTGCTTTTACACAAAAACCTGATTCAGTACGGTACAGTGAGATGGGATGGTGCACAACAGTTTCCAAGTGTTCATCAGGTCATTTTAAACGATTAAATTCTCACAAATTATTTTCTCTTTTTTTTAAACAACAAATATTTTCATCGCCCACAACGAAAGCGCAAGATTGGCCTGTCTGTTACCCCCAATTTCTCACRAATCAACGGCGGCCTGACCTCAGAGAGCACTAAAATGTCTCCAACTCGGCCAGTTTGACAGGCACTGAGCTGAAACTGGGCGTGGTGGTAGCTGAGGGTCATTCACCACACACACTCTGAGCACAACACCGCAGCTCGAGGTCACGGCGTGCACTCCTGTGAGGACCGTTTGGCCTCTGATTTCCTGCTTTTCTCTGTCCCTGTCCAGATTTAACCCTGGATACTTCCACTTTCCTGTCAGGCACCTGGTCGGGCAGCGCTCTGAGGGTCCTCCATCAGCTGTGAGGCCCTCCCACCCGTGAAGAGGGTCTCTGAGGAGTGGCATGTGTGTGGGTGTGTGTGTGT